CAGTCGAGGCCGACATCCCAGACCCAAGCGACAGTGAGGCTCCCCACAGTCCGCCAGTCCTGTGGACCCAGCCCCGCAAAGGGTCGACTCAGCAGCCTGGGCGCCTTTCGCTAGTGCCTACTCCCGTTCACTCCAGGAAGACATCGGAGACGGCAGAAAGCTAAGGGGGGCCGGGAGCAAGTCAGAGCGCCGACCACCCTCTATTCCTGAGGGCGCCATGCTTGATCGCGATGCCCGCCCGCCACCTAGCTCGCCTCGGCAGAATCGCAGCTCGGACCGGGGGCCTGACCCCAGGCAGCATCCCTCCCACTCGCGCGCCCAGATGATCCCTTGGGCGGGCTCCCCATGTACTTGAAGCCAATATACGAGGCTGATATTAAAGTGGAGGAACCAGCCCCAGATAAGATCATCAGACTTCAGAAGACGCTGGGAGGCGCATTCAATGGGATCTGGACGGCCTGGGTCTGTAAGGCAGGCAGCAGGCGCGGGGGCCCGTGGGTCAACGTCAAATCCGACCCCAAGAAGAACACGGTACAGCTATGCGAAGACGTTCTCCTGGCATGGGAAGAAGCAGGCTACGATGCCTACAAGATGGGCGTCGAGCACTGGCTCCACGCAGAATGGCCAACGGTCATGGAGAAGCATCGCCTGCTGCTACAACGCGACACCAGGACGCGAGCCCCCGCGGGCCGCAGTGGTGACGGCCGCCCGTGCCCGTGGGCCGTCAGCAGCAATGTCGCGCCAGTGCCCCCCTCAGTGCCCGACGGGGGCAGAGACGCCACGCAAGCACCCCCCCCAGGCGAGCCCAGTGGAGATGTCCAGCGGTGCCCATGGTGCAAGCCCAGAGAGGCCACAGGTGCCCCACCGGCGTACACCGATTTCAGGGTTGCCCCGCAGACTGGCGCGTGCAGTTCAGCCGCCCCACGGAATCCATGGCAGTCCTGGGAGGGGTGGGGCCGCCGGCAAATCACATGGGCCGGCACAGATTGGAGGGCCACGGAGAAACGGACTGCCCCTAGAGGAGACGCACACTACGCCGATAAGCGACAGCGCGGTCGGGACTTCGACCGCAAGTGACGCCGTCTGTTCTAGCCAAGGCGCGATGTCCATTTCTCCAGGCCCAGGAAGGCTGGCCCCGTCATCGAGGGCCACTCGGCCAGGGCTCCTGCGCCCATTTCCCTGTCCTGCCCTCCCCATGTGCCCCCCTTGGGCACTTCTCAGTGCACGTCTTCGGCTCGAGCCACTTTTCCCGCTCGCGAAGCTCCAGGCCGCGGCTCTGCCCACCTTCCCCCCGTTCATGTCGATGCTCCGTGTTGCCACTCAGCCTGTCTCGGAGCGCAACGCGTGCTTTCTGGAGGACAACGACCTCGGTCAGCTGGGTACAGCCTCCACCTCGCTATACAAAGTGGCCTCCATCGCGCTGACCCTGTGGGCCACGTGGGCCCCCGACGTGCCATGCGGGGCCCGATTGGTCGGCAGCCCCATGGTCCTCGAGCGCCCCTTTGCTGCCCGCAGGCACGCAATCGGTGAGGACAAGACGTCGCGGACGGAAGACCCCCGGGGGCCACGCCGACCATGAGCTGTCCCGTGACGAGGGGGGCTCGTTGCACCGCAGTGACAGGCACCAGCCTTCATGCCCGCGTCACCTCCTGGGAGTGAGGTGCCAGCGCCTGGTTCCTCCTCCCCCATGTATTCAAATGTTCTGCGGCTATCGGCTGCGCCCCCCCCCTTCCCTCCTGGCGCCCTCGACGACTGAGGTGGCTGGCCGACGACGCGTGGCGCTCGCAATGCGCGCTCCACACTGGCAGGGGCCATCATGGTCCTCGAAAGTCCCTTGGCTGCCCACAGGCACGCTATGGGTGAGGAGAAGACGTCGCGGACGGTTGACCCCCCAGGCCACATCGGCCGTGGGCAGTCCCTTCACGAAGGGGGCTCGTTTCACCGCAGTGACAGGCCCTGGCTTTAATAGACGTGTCACCTCCTGGGAGCGAGGTGCACATTCTCATTGCGCTTGGACCCCCACGGTACTTCGTGGGCTTTTAGCCCGTGCGGTCTGGCTGCAATAATCCTGCCCGCGGCTCACTTTGGCTTTGTTCGCGGGGACATGTGCCCGTATCGCCCGCTTGGGCGCTCACATTGGATGGCTGGGGCGGCAGGCCGAAGGCCCCCCCCCCCCCATGCGCTCCGCGCTCCCGACGTCCGACGGCCTTGCCCGAGTGACGTTTCCCCCCCGCAAGACGGCGCCACACGCCGACGACTTGCCGACTTCACGTGTTGGGTCCTCGACTGGCGGTGTTACCACCTGGCTCCTCCTCTCCATGTATTCAAATGTTCTGCGGCTATCGGCTGCGCCTCCTCTCCTCCCCTCCTGGCGCCCTCGACGACTGCTGAGGTGGGCCGACGACGTGCAGTGTGGCTCTGGGCTAATACCTTTGGGTCACCTCCTGGGGGCGAGGTGCACCCCTCTCAGCACTGCGCATTGGTACAGTGCTCGCATGGGGCGGTGGGGGCTTAGGCCCACCCCTCACGTTCCACTCGACGCCTTCTGGAGGCTGGACCACCACTCTTTGGGTCAGGGACGGCTTGCCGGCGAGCACCTGGTGCTCCGTGAGTGAGGCTTATTTTTTTCTCCCCTTCGTTCTTCCTTCCCGTCGCCCTGCTCAGCGCC